GAATTTTGTACGAAAGCTCGACGGAATGACGAAATTTACATTAAGCTTTAAGTCTGGCAGTTTTGCAATTCTTAACACACAAGCTTAGTTGACGATGATCATTTAAACTTGAAAAAACAAATGAATCACGAGAGAGTGAGTGAGACGGAAGTCGAGTATCCCTACCGCCCCTCCTTGAAAAACAAGGTGATATGACACAGCAGCAGCAGAAGCATCTACAAACCTCTTTGGATAAGATCATTATATACAAGATGAGTAGATGATGATGATGAACAAGAAGAATGTGATCACTTCTTTCTCCTATGATTTTCATTTTTCTCTACTTCATCTACTCTCATACTTTCTCACTTCAGAGGCGAACAGAGGGCCATTTTCATGGAAATTTGAGCTAATTTCTGAGGAAATTATTCGTCACTTTTACGTGTTTTCAAGAAGAAATTGAGTAAAAGTCTTAGCATAAATGACCAAATAGGGAAACTATGGATTGCCTCAGGCGATAGCATTTGAAACGATAAAATCGAAAAAAGCGTATCAATATTGACCAATTACAGATCACGAGCGTTTCGAAAAAGCTATGCGTATGACAACTAAATATATATATATACATATATATATATATATAAGACTTCTTTATAAATGAATTTAAATATTGATTTGAGAGAGTTAATCCTATGAACTTATGTTATTCAGCGGGTGGACGAAAGCTTTTCGTATGTGCGGTAAATGGGGTCAAGCGAAAGAATTTGTACATGTCCGATGATGATAATCAACGGTGATTTGAAGATTCAGTTGTGATGACGTCACAACAACCGTACGCTTCTATTAATTAGCATCTCTCTCTATTTCTATTTCATTCTCTCATTGAACAGTTTCGGCATTTCTCTTCATCTCTCTATCTATCTATCTGTCTACAGTTGTACCTAACTTTCCTTATCTCATACCCTTCCAGTTTCTAACTCTATCTCTGAATCTCTATCACTCTTTTAACATTCTATCAAATGAAAAAAAATTCTAATTTTGTATCTTGCGTACATTTGAGAGAATCGCAAAATTTCTTCAAAACACATTCTAAGGATTCCTATAATGTACTTAAAACTTCAAGAAAAGGTCAATCTTATTCTTCTACAAACTCAACGATTGCAGGAAAGGCAAAACTCAATCGAATTAAGTTATTCAGCGGAATGAAAATATGAAAACGATCAAATACGGCGAAAAGAAAAAAAAAGTCTGAGAAAAACATTTCTGAAGAGTTTACGACGGTTTTCTTGAAAAAAACCTTTCAAATCCAGAAATTAGACATTTAGACGAAAAAAAGGTTAGAAAAAAAAAGAAATAAAATGGTTGTCAATTGAGCTTGTTGGAAGGCCTCGTCTTGTCACTTCAGATTCCATTTTCGGCTTCTTTTCATAAATGTGTCGAAGGAGGAGAAATGTTTACGTTTCGTCGTCCATTGGACAGAAATATCTGTCTGTCCGGTCATTTACCGAAGAAGTAAAAAATAGCGTTTTGATATTTGTATGTTTTAACAATAAAATTTAGAAAGAAAAAAAGTGAAAATATGAAGCCTGAAGAGAAGCAATGCGAGGGCGAAACAATCAACAGCCCCAAGTCGGCCAGATGGCAAAAGAAAGGGAAAAGGATCTGTAAAAAAGATAAAAATCTTCATTTACGATTGGCATCAGACTGGTCAGATTTACGTAAATGAAACGACTTTCCAATGATTTACAACATTTAAGCTTTTCCTTCTTATTTGCATTATTTTTCGTGTTATGAATTAGCACACAGACAACAGACAGCAAATATCAGAAAGGCATGATGAATGCAGACGAAAGAAAGAAGTTGGGGGGATGGAGGTGAAGACAATACTGAATTTCCACTTACCGAGAACCTTCTTTTAAAAATAGAATGGTAATTGGAATTCGTCAAAGTTTTGCAAAAACTATCAGACAATTGAATCAAAAATGATTTGAATCACATTTGAACTGTTCGTTTGATTTTTGATGTTTTGCAATTAAATCTCATCAGAAGTTCCACATTAGCTCATTTCACCTTCTGCTGCCCCTTCCCCCCCCCCCTTTTCTCTCATCATGAACGTTCCAAACAACATCGAGTCTGATGATCATACTGAACAAAATTAGAAGAAGACGTTCGAAGAAGAAGACGAATAAGAAGAAGAAGAAGATGTAAAAGGCGAATGAACAACTACCAAAACGCATATATTCATTCCAAAGATTTTTCTCCACGAAAAGTAAATGGAAAACTCTATATTCGAGCGACCAGAAAAAAGTTTTTTTTTCTCTTCATATAAGAAAAACCGGTCATTAACTGTCCATGTATGGCTTTTCTTCTCCATGAAAATGATCGAATAAATTAAATAAAAAGTCTGATCGATGATCTATTTATAAAATAAAAATAAGAAAAAGAAAAAAAAAGTTTCCTTTTTACTTATATATTATACTATTATATACCATAAACTATATACTATATATATATATATATTGTATATCTATATATGGAGAAAGAGATGAAAAATATATTTTTATTTTAACTGCTAGATACATATATGTATATGCATACACATACATACATACTTTACTGTATTTCATTTATTCTCTAGCTCATTAGCATTTCACGTGAACTACGTGAAATGCAATAACGAAGTTCATTTATCGTTGCCATATTGCACACCGACCGGTTGATGCTCATTTCACATCTTCTTCTTCTCCTTCTTCCTCTTTTTCCTTCTTCCTTCCCTGCCTTACCATTCATTCTTCTCTCTATCCTCTTCTCTTCTATTTTCAAACGAAATCATTCGCCTATTTCATTTTCTTTTTGTCTTAATCTTTCAATCATTTTCTTCAACATTTTTTCATTTTAATCAGTTTTTGCTCTTCAAATCCTTGTGAAGAATGATGTGAAACGATGGTGACGCCCCATGTTGACTTTGGCAAATCATCAGAAATCGCTCATAACCATTATCATCACAAGATGTTAATCCATCCGTCTCACTGTCACTCTTTCTCTTCATATATCCTTCTCTCTTTTGATTTTCCGTTTTTCCTCTCTTACTTCATTCAATCATTCAATCATTCTCTTTCCCTCTACTTCTCCAATAATCTCCTTATATGAGGCAATGGAGAGATAGATAGAGGAACGATGTAGTAGAGTGATAGAGAGATAACGATGAAGTGAGGAAAGAAGCAAAATTTTTAAATCCAGCAATAGAATGCCTTTGCGGCGTTGTCTTGGAGACAATTTTTGAGAAAATTTTAAAACAAAATGATTCTTCCGTTCATTAGCAGTGAACTAACGAATGGCATGAAGATCGAGAAGAATCACATCTGCCATTCTTTCCTTCAAACAAACTTTCCGCTTCTTCTGTTATTTTTTTGTGATTTATCAAAACATATAATTGTGTTTCCAAATAATATTTTTGTACCTTTTTTGTTTCTTCCTTTTCCCCATCACTACAGCCGCATGCAGAAACTACAGAAGCGCATTTGTGAATTCATAGTTCTTAAAGTGCAATTTCAGCGTTTCGTATTTATGCCACCATCATCTGCTATAATTTTTATTCTCTTTTTTTAGTCTACTACTTGACCAGTTTTCAAAGATATATTTGCTTTTCCTCATCTCTACTTCTTGTTTCTCATCAGAATGCTTAACGTGCGAAGACCAAAATCTGATTTGGAGTCGACTATGCAACGTAGTGAACTTGGTGAATTATAAAATCATTTATATATATATACATAGTTATACAAAAACATACTATTAATTATTATACATCTATATATAGTATACATAGTTATTTATATTTAATTTCCTATATCCTCCAATAATGCATTTGCTTTTTAAGGCTTAGGCATCTGCGGCAGCGGACCAAGACTTCGTTCATTTCTGCTATGTGGCTCAACATTTCTCATCGCATTAAGTTTTTTCATAATTGGATTCATTCTATATCAGAAAATTGTTCATCTCCCCATTGCGAATGATTGAATGTATTATTATGTTAGTTTGAATGCACAAAAAAATTAAAAAAGAAACAAAAAAAAACATTTTTTTTATTCACAAAATGCACAAAACCAGGAATTTCCTTACGTTCAGCCTTTTCGCTTCTTTTGTTTTTCATTTTTACAACAAAAAATAAATTAAAATAAAGCTTTAATTTGATTTTTGTTTCTTCGAGAATGGGTCTTTCAATCCCCGTTTGTACAAAGCATAGAAATATAGAGTTGGACAAGCCCATCTAAGAAAAACGGCAAAACGAGCTCCAAGTGGAGCCATGATAAAATCAGTTTGACGACGAACAGCTGCATTGATGATTTCTGTTGAAGCTTCATCGACCGACATGCCCTGTAACAAAGTAAGTTTTACTGTCATTCAGAGGTCAGGCACCATATTTAGATTTGTCACACAAAACAAAAAAACAAAACAAAAAATTATTTGGAACATTCAATATCTCACGAAACTCTATGACATCATCACGAACAAATTTCAATTACCTTTACATCTCAAGTTCAAACAGCAAAATCAAAACCAAGTACGGCGAACAGCCGGTTCTTTTTCCTCTTTTTCCCATTTCGCAAATTTATTGAAAATGGTTTTTTTTAGAGCTTCCTCTCCCAGAAATTTCGTATTATATAGATGACTGGTCACCTTTTGCCCCCGACACTTCTTCTATTATTCTTCATTTCTTTGTTTTCTTTTTCTTTTTGTGTTAATCAAAAAGCTCTACCGTTTATGGTTATGATTAAACAACAATCGGCAGCTTGTCACATCACATTGAATGCCATTTGCCCCCTACAGCACCCTTCTCTCTCTTCTTTTTACTTTCACTACTTCACTGTCTTTCTCCACCCTCTGTCTCTTACCAAGGTGAAGTGCTTGGAGGGCATTGTAACAAGAACGACAACACTATTGCCACCATTTGATATTCCTTTAAACCGTTATGTTTCAATATTCCTTCTCCTCATAGCATTTTTCTATTTTTTAGGCTTGTTATGGCTTCCTTCCTGCTTCTTGTCTTTCTCTTTCCTCTGACACAAGGTATTTCCCATCCCTCCCCCCTTTTTATTCTTTCTTTCTCGCCTCTTTTTCTATAAACTTTCATTAATTAAGCTCAATTCGGCTTATTCCCTGGCTTCGGATTTCCACAACCTCCTCCACCACCAAATCCATGGGCAAATCTATTTTCGAATCCCTTCCAACCTTTCCAACAACAGGTGATTTCAATTTTTTTCCGCTTGCCCTATGATTTTCAAATTACACTGATCCATTTCGTTCAGACTACACCAGCTACTACAACTCAGTTAGCCATCGAAAATGTACCCAATCCCGATTTGGAAAGAGGAAACTTCCCTGCCCCGGATCCACGAATGTGGCCTATCGGGCCTGATTGGAATGACCCACGTAATACATGGACAAGCGAACTTGGTTGGGGAGGACGTGATGTAGGTAGAGCATTCACGCAATCAACTCGAGCCCTCAGCACTGCCCCTATCATATCAACAACAGCAGTTCCTTTGAATACTTCTGAAGAGCCGGAAGTATCAACAGATAATAGCATCCTCTCAGCTGCTTCATCAACGCAGATTTCTCCAATAATTCGACCATTCTCACAGTTAACACCTGATGTTAAACAGAAAAAAATGGAGAAAGAAGTTGAAGACGACATCGTCAGTTCTACCAAAATTCCAAAGATTCTCGGAGAAGATAGTGTTAGGTTGAGTCAAATGACATCAAGACAGTTGGAAAGTGATCGTCTAGTTCGTCATCGTTCAACATCACAAAAACGACACTAATGTTTTTTGTGCCAATGCATAATCTAGGCATCATCACCTATTCTTTCTATCTCTGTCTCTTCATTCCTTAAGAAATTTTTTTTAACCTAAATGACCTCAACCCGCTTCAATTCCTTCTTTATTTAATCGTTTTAAACTACCAAATTAGGAAGTGTAACGAATTTTTCTCTCACTTAATCTTAAAGTTTGAAAATCTCTTTTTCTGACGACATAACCTTGACCTCTTGCAAGGTTTTAAAAATTTGGATTTTTTTCATTTCAATATTCATTTTGTTCAAAAATTGTAAATAATCTCTTGTATGTAAAAGATGAAATAAACATTTCTATTCGATCGTTTATCAGTAGCGCATGAGTGTCTTCAAGCGCTTGACACCTCGAGTCTCATGCTTGTCTGCTCTACCCTCTACCTCCCACTTTTTTCTCTCACGCCTTCCCCCCCTCATTTACTTCGACAACCTCACCATCATCAACTTCCGTGTCAAAATAACTTCTCTCACTATATTATGTTTTTCTTCCTCAATTTCCAGCTTATAAGTAATTCACATTGACTAACCTTCAACTGATTCTCATCTTCTTGTCCAGTAGGTTTTCCATCAACATCAAGAGCTCGTGATCCAAAGCCGGTATTCATATAACCAGCTGATACAACCAAAATATGTAGTTTTGGTCGCGACTCAGACCGTAAAGTATCAAAAAATGCCTAGAATATTCATATAAACATAATAAATATGAGAAAAGAAACTGCAAAAAAGTCATAATAAAACTGAGAGAAGCACCTGCAACGCATGTTTACTGGCCGCGTAAGAACTTCGGTAGGGAACAGGAATCTTTCCTTGTACACTGCTGATTACTATAATGCAGCCATCATCAGGAATGTACGGAAGAAGCTGCATAGTAACATCTATTTGACCAAAGTAGTTCACATCCATCACTTGCCTAGAACAAGACTTGCTTCATTCTCTTCAAATCATCAGATTCTCACTTATGAATGCTAATTGGTGTCTCATCTATACGTCCTCTCATGGAAATTCCTGCGTTGTTAATTAAAATATCAATGGTTTGTCCATCAATAGCTCGTTTTCTAAGATTTGTCACATCGATTGTTGTATCAGCAATATCCAAATATCTGAAACGAACTTTTGAATATCTTAAGACAAACAAATGAAATGCTCACTCATATTCAGGCTCATGTGGGTTGTCAGGGTGGCTAGTCTTCAATTCTTCACATAATTTCTTCAGCTTGTCTATACTTCTGGCTACCAAAATAAGTTTTGCTCCTTTTTTGTACAAATCAAAAGCTAATTGTCTTCCCAGACCTAAAATGTAAATACTGCGTCAACATCAACAAAATTTTTCTCACCTGAACTGGCTCCGGTAATGAGAACAGTCTTGTCTTTAAATGTCAATTTGCGATGATGATGTGGGCCGGGAATAAACCAATTTAGAAGCCTTTAATCATAAAATTATTATAATCAGCATAATTATTGGGTATTACTTGTAAATAGCAAAAATGCCAGCCGGGATTACAGCATAAGGAGCAAACGGACGAACGTGTTGAATGATGTTGCTCATTTCGTAAACCTGGAATAAGTTCTGATAAGAGCAGCTTGTGATAAGAGAATGCTCAAACAGGAAGCTTTGCAACGTTTCGTAACAAAAGTGAGAAAGCATGTAGAAGATTTCATGATTACAGCACAGTTAACTTAATTGTTTTCTTATTCAACACAAAGTGCTCTGAACTTCAGAAAAAAATAGAATCAAATATTGATTGAAATATAAAGTAAAGAGAATAGAAAATGAAAAAAAAAAGATTTTTGTGCGTTTGAAGGAAAATAAAGCAAATAAGGAAAAAGAGAAATGAGGTTGGGTGGATGTCATATAGAACCCCCCCCCCCCCCCCCCCCCCCCCTCAATAAAACCAAACAC